GAGACAGGGACATTATAACTTTCATAACCTGATGCAATCACCCTATTGCTGGGTCCAGTTTCCATTGGCCAGAACGGGACCTCACATTCTATGCTTGACCTAACTGGCTGAAAACTTGGAAATTCCTGAATAGATAATGAGAGAGAAGACAAGGAAGAAGAGGAAGCTAGTCAGGAGAAGGTTGGGGTGGTAGGGCCCAGGGGGAGGCAGTTCTAAATAAGGAATGGCATGCACCAGGGTTTGGAGCTTGCCCAATTCTGTTCAGACAGGCCAGAGCGAGTCAAGGTAGCTGATTTAAGACATAGCTGATTTAGAGAATATACATACACGGCTATATGTTTATGCTAATAGCAGATAATGGCCATAGAGCAAGAGATTGTAGCTCCTTATAATGTAGTCTAAGATATAAACTTTGAAAAAGAGCTTTCCCATTTCTCACAACCTGTATCTTGTGCCAACCTTCTATCTCATCCTGTGACTTAGAATACCTTGACCATCTGGGAATGCAGCCCAGTAGGTCCTGGCTTGATTTTACCCAGCTCCTATTCAAGATGAAGTGGCTCTGGTTCAAATGTCTCTGACACTCTTTCCCCCTTATGTAATCAGTAACCATATTAAGAAAATAACTTTCTCCTAATGGAGTAGCAAGTTAGGTGGTCCAGAGTAAACGGTGTAATGGAAAACTGCCATTCCTGGGAGGCACTTCTGTTTCCATGTCTGTAAAATCACTGGGTTACACTGGGTGCCTCCAACATTCATGTCCAGCCTAGACATTCTCTAATTCCAACTCCATGTGCACTCTCCTCCCATTCTTTGAAGCCAGTCTTTGGACATTGCTGTCTGGTTTTAGTTGCTGGCAGATGAGAGAGGGTTTGTTTATGGCCACTGCCACCTACCAGATTTATTTTTAGAGCTGCTTATCGGTGTCCCCCAGGAGTATCATTTAGACATTTAGATCACACAGCTTCTAGTGTGGAATGTGAAATGTGGCTGTCCTCATAGTAAATGAAAATCAGTTCCATGGGATTGCTGAGGGATGGGGACCCTTGGGAGAAAGAAAGGGAATATCTAATCTGCGACCATGTTGTTAGTGAAGCACATTGCACTATGCATTTTATATGCCTTATCCCAAGTAATCCTACTCAAAGCAGCCTTTAAAGAAATCACTCTTAAGAGATAGAGATCAAAAAATTTCTTTTAAAAGTTAATCCCACAAATTGACAGGCAGCCAAGGTAAATTCCATCCCCGGTGCATCAACAACTAAAACTCAGGGGAGGTTTCTGTGCTTCCAGTTTGGTGTGAAAAACAGCTGTCAGCATCTACTATGGCTACATAATCATACGTTAGGTTCTAAAGATTCAACAGTGAATAAGATAAATTCCTAGCATCCTGAAGTTCACAACTTAGCTAGGGAGGGTGGTAGATTGATCATTTAAATAATATTTAGCAAGATAAGATAGGAGCAGAGGAGACAGATATTTTTACATAAAGATTATTTTTAAGATAGAGTGTATAATGCGCATGTATAGGAAATGTGAAAAGCACAAAAAGGTAAAATAGCACACATATGCATACCATCTAAAGAAAACTCTTGCTAATGGTTGGTTACTTCTAATATTGTCTCTATGCATAAATTTTAGTTACGTTTACATAGTAAATGTGGTGGGTAACATGGAGCTGTGGGGAATTCCTGTTGTACTGCCACCTCTACCCAAAGACTTTAATAAACATTGATGATGTTGATTATTTCATTGGTTTTATAAAATAATTTTTTAAACCCTTTCTTTCATCTGTCTGTCTAGCTATCCATCAATCTATCTAAATCCCCAGTGTCTGTTGGGGGGAAATAGGGGAGGGACAGTGGGGGATGGGGAGTTGGGGAGAGATAGCATGGGGAGAAATGCCAGATATAGGTGATGGGGAGGAAGGCAGCAAATCACACTGCCACGTGTGTACCTATGCAACAATCTTGCATGTTCTTCACATGTACCCCAAAACCTAAAATGCAATAAAAAATAAAATAAAATAAAATAATCTATCTAAATCTATCATTTTTTCTCCATTTATTGGTTGGCATTTATCTGTTAAAAAGAGCTTTCCCTCATCAACTGAAAATAGTCATATATACATGTATACAACTACATATGTGTGTATTATCTTGTGTGGTCATATATGATCTTGTATATGTACATGCATGTATATATGTGGATATAACTACATATACACATAAATACATGTATACATATATAATGTATACATAAAATGTGTGTATATATATATTCCTTTTCCTAAAATATTTTGTCAGAATACTTTACTCCATTAATATATGAGAATGCCTCATATAATTCCAGTCAAGGGTGTGTTTTAATAAGCAATAATTATTGCTGAGGAAGGCATGTCGATTCCGAATGCAGTCACTTCTCGACCTCGGAAGGCATCCCTTCTCTAGGCACAGTGAAGTTTGGCACATCAATTATACATGTGGTGTGACAAATCCATAGTCCTCTAAAGGATCTTTCCGTATCATTTTCTCCCATCCACAGGTATCCTTAGGCTAGTAGAGCGTCTCTCAAACTGTCCATTTTTACTAGCTGATTTTAAATTACATTTAGAGGATATTAGCTTATGACCTCTCCTTGGTGCTGAGCTGAATACTGATGGTTGAAATAGGATAGGAAACCTCTGTGTGGAGTGATACACAGAGCAGCAGCATTTATTGAAGCTGTCAGTGTAACACCTTCCCCCTGCAGCCTTCCTAATGCCTGATAGATACACTGCGATCATCCTAGCAGGGTGGTGGACCTGGTGCAAGGCTCTTCATGCTGATAACAAATGACTCCTATCTCTAGGGCAGTAGTGGTTTAACATCATCTGGTTCTTTTTTCTTTGCATTTCTTTTCCTACAGGAATCTGGGCCTGTGGGACTTCTCTAGTATTTTCTCTATGGGCAGAAGATGTTTTCTGTTAAACTACATGTTACTGTGGATGAAACAGTGTTGAAGTTAACAACTACCATAGTTAAAGGCTTTCTACTTAACAGACCCTAGGCTAAGCACTGCATATGTGTTATTTCATTTATTTTTCAAAGCAACCTTATAGAGTTATATGCTGTTAATGACCTCAGTATAGTGAGACTTAAAGAGGGCAGGTGACTTATCCAAGATCACACAGCTAGTAAATTGTAGAGCCTGGTTTCAAATGCAGATCTGTGTATTCACAAGCCCTTTTCACTGTGAATAGACAACATAGACAATTTGCTATGCTGTGTTGTGTTGTGTTGCTGGGCCGGGCTTTGCCGGGCCGGGCCGTGTTATGCTATAATATTACTTAAGCTATCCTAAACCAGCCCATAGATAGAGATCAAAAGCATATACTAATGCCAGAGCAATGGCAGCAATTATGGGCTTCCTCTTGAATATTTCAGGAAAGGCACATGTATTCTCTATTAAATAAATAGCCTACTTTTTTTCTTCCACAACAAGGTGCCACTTAGACATGTAAAGCAGCAGAGGACTTCAAAGGACCTTGGTGGAAATTCTGGTTTTGTAACATCAGTAAGCAAACATCACCAAGCGTTGGTTTCCTTGGCTGTAAAATGGTAATTAAAATGCCATCTACTTTGTCAGATTGTCAAAAAGGTTAAATGAGCTTTATATTCTTTTTTCCTACGGTTTTCAAATGTTTTCTGAATGCCCGTATGCACAAGTCATTGCCTATCGGGCTAAGATTTCTCACCAGGAATGAGAGACTATGTATATACATGTTTTCATGAAACATTTCTGGATCATAGGACATTTAATGCTACTCTGAGTTGGGCCAGGGTTTCAGTTCAAAGGATGAATGAGACCATCTAGATTTTAACTCATAATTTGACTGTAATAAAACTCCACTGCACGTCTTTACTAATTCAGGCAGCCATGCCACTCCCTCTCTCCTCTTGCCCCTCAACCTTATCTCATGTATTCTATATCTTTCTTATATCTCCCACAATTATATTATTATTATAATGGCTGCCAGCAACCAAACCTACTTGTGTAAAAGTCTTGACCTTTTTAGGGTGAATGGGTAAGTTAACACAAGACCATTGGCTCAGCAGAATCTTAGACTTTTATACTGGGGTAAGAAATCAATCATGCCTCCCTCCTGTTATCACCTTGAATTTCAATGCACAAAACCAAAAGAGTCAGGAGAAATGAGGGTCTCTGTTACCAAGAATAGGAGCTTCGGGAGATCAGAAATTGTTTTTCTTAATCATTGTTAAGTCTCTAGTGCCTAGAACAGTGCGTGGCATACCAAGGATCCCCAAAAGTGCTAAATGAATCCCCAAAAGTGCTAAATGAAAAAGAGAGGATGGCTCTCAATTTTTGTGGGGGTCCTGTCTCATCCTTTGATAAATCAAGACACATCCCTGCCAAGAACTATGGCATAGTGCTCTAAAGAAACACATTACTCACAATTTTCAAATAAAATAGGCCATTTCTTATTGGGGGTGGGGTGCTATAATAAAAGAATAACCCTAAAATCACTAGTGGGGACAACAAAAAAAAGTGAAGAATAACAGAAAAGAAAAGCCATTCAGCAAATATGGGGCCACTCTCACCAATTTCCTGAGAATTGACAGAGAAGAAAGACTATCAGATTCAAAAGGGTCCGCCACTCAAGGAATTAGTCCCCTTTCTAATTACTATAATATTATTTCTTCAGACATCAGGTGTTTACAAGAAGAGTAGTACATGTGACTCAGCTTGTGTGTCTGTGTGGAGACATAAGACCCTTTCCTTCCACAGATCTTGAAATAACATCATTCCTAGGCTTTTACTGTTCCCAATAAAAATGGTTTCTCCCAGGACCAAAAAAGCAACAATATTTATCAAAATCAAGTAGCAGGATAATCAAAATACTTTCTGGAATTCTGCAACTTGGTAACACTTCCAGAAGGTTGTCATTGGCCCAGTGGGTCTTTGTGACTAGAGACAAAAGCTTTTGCATCTTTTTGTAGGGCAAGGTTGAAGCTGAGTTCCACCTAGTCACAGCAGAAGAAGCTGAGAAGAATCCTGTTGGAAAAGCTCGAAAGGAGCCAGAGCCCCTGGCCAAGCCCAAGTGAGTGCAGTTGCGAGTGGGGACAGAAATGGGAAGGGGCCTTTGCAGTCCTTGTTGGTGTCTGATATGGGCATTTCTTAAGGGCAGCCCTGTGGGAGAACTGGGAAGCCAGGAGGCAGTCAATGGGTGCCTTCCAACCTGTGTGGCTTCTTGAATAAAAAGCTGAATATAAGAAGAAATACAAGACATCAACCATGCCTTCCAGGAGCTTTCAATCTATTTGGGGAAAATAACACAGACACTCATAAAATAGTCAGGGTGTAGAAGACGCTGTAGTCTCAAAAGAGGGTGAGTCAAACGATGAATGAGTTAGGAACTTGAAGTGAAGGGAATCATCGGGGCCTGAGGCTGTCAGGAAAGACTTCATAGAAAAGGTGGGATCTGAGCTGGCAGGTTGGACAGATGGAGGGTGGTGGAGCCTTGGGCTGGGTTCTAATTGGCCTCTTGCCCTCTGCTCCACACCAACCGCATCTTTACCATGATACAGGAGTCCTCATCATACAAGTGTTAGGCTGCTCCTGCCTCAGGCAACATGTTCTTCTCCCATTTTCAGGCCTCTCCCTATGTGTCCTCAGAAAGTGGGTGTCAGAAACACTTCCTGGGGTCTTAAGCATTCTGTGTTGACAGCATGACCCCCTTTTTGATTTTCTCTTCTTTCCCACTCAGCCGCCCAGACACCTCCTTTTCCTGGTTCATGAGCCCCTTTAAGTGCCTGTACCACCTCATCTGGAAGAATTACAAGAAGTACATCATCATTGGTTTCATTCTGATCATCCTCATCATCTTCCTGGTCCTTTTCATCTACACCTTGCCAGGAGCCATCAGCCGAAGGATCGTTGTGGGCTCATAGAGGGTCACGGAGGACCCAGACTCTCCCATTATACTAATCCTCTCTTCCTCATCCAGGAGCATCTAAGAACATGTCCCATACATGGTGCCATGTTGAGTGCTAAGGGGACAGACAGATCAATGCTTCTTAGAAGAGATGGAAAGGAAATTCCATTCCCTCCCTGCTGCAACCCCTGCCACCAAGTTTCAAACTTATAAGATGTAAGGCATGCTGCATGAAATAAGGCACTTTCACCTCATAGTAATCAACAGTGACCTCAAATTGACTTAGATAAATGTTTTCTTTATGTAATTGGTTATATTCTGAGAAGCTGAGTTCTGGGTCTGAGATTTTATTAGAAGTACTTTATTTTAAATAAAATTTTAGGCTGGGTGTGGTGGCTCACGCCTGTAATACCAGGGGAGGCTGAGGCAGGTAGATCACTTGAGGCCAGGAGTTCAAGACCAGCCTGGCCAACATGGTGAAAACCCATCCCGGCCGGGCGCGGTGGCTCACGCCTGTAATCCCAGCACTTTGGGAGGCCGAGGCGGGTGGATCACGAGGTCAACAGATCGAGACCATCCTGGTCAACACGGTGAAACCCTGTCTCTACTAAAACTACAAAAAATTAGCTGGGCATGGTGGCACGTGCCTGTAATCCCAGCTACTCAGGAGGCTGAGGCAGGAGAATTGCCTGAACCCAGGAGGCGGAGGTTGCGGTGAGCCGAGATCGCGCCATTGCACTCCAGCCTGGGTAACAAGAGCGAAACTCCGTCTCAAAAAAAAAAAAAAAAAAAAGAAAACCCATCTGTACTAAAAATACAAAAATTAGCTGGGCACGGTAGCATACACCTGTAATCCTAGCCACTTGGGAGGCTGAGACAGGAGAATCGCTTGAACCGTGAGGCAGAGGTTGCAGTGAGCCAAGATTGCACCACTGTACTCCAGCCTCACAGAGCAAGACTCCATCTCGGAAAAAAATAAAAATAAAATTTTAAAGCAAACCAACTGAAAATATCATAGCAAAGTATTAGATATTGAACCTGTCCCATATATCTTAATCTTGTAAACTATATCATTATACTTTACAGAACACATTCATTTAGGCTGTGAAACTGGCTTGCAAACAATGTCACATAAATCATCTAAAATACGTTTTGTTGAAATTTTCATCTAGAGATGAGATGTTGTGGATTTTCTATTAAAGTCAACACTTGTGGGACGTGTTCAATAATAGTAGTTGATTCTGGAGAAACATATTTTGATTTATGCTCTGTGGCAATTTTCAGGCAGGAACTTTATAATTTGATGTAAGACACATGAAATATAATTGTGTAGATGGGTTAGGGGCAGCTCCATGCCATCAGTAGGAATTCTCTATTGCCAGATATATAAGCCCCACCAAGTATGGTGTTCCCATAGACCATGATACAAATGGCCATCCCCAGCACTATTCAGCACTTAGCCTGACCACCATATGTGGCAGGTTTCATCATGAATCTGAGGCACACATTTTTATTTTATTTGAGAAAGGGTCTTACTCTGTCGCCCAGCCTAGGGTATAGTGGCGCAATCTCTGCTTACTGCAACCTCTGCCTCCTGGGTTCAAGCAATTCTCATGCCCCAGCCTCCTGCGTAGCTGGGATTACAGGCACTCGCCACCACACCCAGCTATATATATATATTTTTTTGTATTTTTAGTAGAGATGGGGTTTTACCAGGCTGACCAGGCTAGTCTAGAACTCCTGGCCTCAAGTGATCTGCCCACCACAGCCTCCTAAAGTGCTAGGATTAGAGGCACAAGCCACCAGGCCTAGCCACTTAAGCACAAATTAATTTCAAAACCAGTCTTAGAATTGATATCCTACGCATTTGTCAAATGGGGTCAGTTTTTCTTGAATGTAAACCTCTGATCTTCATAACACGATCTAGATCTGCCACCCTACCTAAGGCAGGGACTTGAAATGAGGGGCAGGTTTTCTCAGATATAATAAGGAAACAGAAGAATTGGAATATTTGATCTCAATTCCCATGCACAATTTTTGGCCTCATGTGCAAATCAATATGACAACCATTTCTTCTTTCTAGCAGCAAGAGCCATTTGGTATTGGGAGGCTCAGTGGGAGTTCCCTTGTTGACACCAGAAACACCAGGGCTGCTCTTTTGTTTGTTTGATAGCTTATCACAGATGTAACTCTTCTAAAGGGTAAGATTTACTTCTACAGAGAAAAGTCATTTTTAGAATGTTCCTGGTCCATCAAAGAAAGAGTAAAAGAATGTTCTGTGTGATTTTAGACTCAAGCGTTTTTTTCACTGAATTCTGGCCCTAGATGCTCACTCACTAGTAGCCATAATACCCTGTTTTCCTCAAATGCTGAAATAGTACATTTACTACATTGGCAATGTTTTCCAGTGGGATTGGTCACACAAACTCATTCATTCTTACTGTGCCATATTGCACAGCCATAATTAATGATGTAGTTAAAAATACTTGATGGCATGGAATATATACATTGAATATATTGTAAGAAAATATACAAGTCAGAAAACTATATGTATAGCATGTTGTAAAAAGAAAATATATATACAGGCATAGCAAAAAATATCAGGAAGAATATGCCAAAATGTTAATGATTAGGTAGCATCATTTTTTAACTTCTTGTCTATTTCTCCCAAAACTTCTAAAATAAGGTATTATTTTTCATGTAAAAAGTTTAATAAACTTATGTGTCCATTTAAAAATACTCATTGAGCGTCTCCTATGTGCTGGGCAGGGGGGATACGGCAAAGACAAACATGTCACCCCACCACCATGGATTTTCACTCCAGTAGCTCCCCAATATGTTATTTTATCTTCAAATTATGAGTCACCCAAGAAAGGCACCAGATAAGGCATGTATTTCACAGATGAGGTTTAGGAAAATGTATGACTATACCTCTGGTGATGTTGACAAGGAGAACGGCATTATTTTAGGATTAATTTGAAAGTAAAGTATTATTATACCTTCTGCTGGATTGTGGACAGGACGATGACAGGTAAACTCTTGACAAAATGTACATTTTTCAAATTCATAATAAAAGCAAGCTAAAAGTTGAAAATCCTTCTAAGTTAAACAGAGCTCATTAACTCTCGTTTGATGTCAAAAGACATCCAAATGCTAAAAGCCTGGAGCAGTACTTGAAACACTTTTGGATCAGATGGCATCTTAAGAAATGTGTGAGAAGAAGTGGAAAGCAATGATAATTTTGGAATCAGCTATGTCTGGTATTCTATACATAGTAGATTGCATATGCCTGTTCTGCATGTACAAATTAAATAATGTTCTATGTCTAACTGTGCAGTCCTGGTGCTAAAGATACTACAGTTTTTTTAAAAGCCCATTTCCCAAGAAGGTGTCATGAGTTCCTACTTGTGTTCTTAAATAAGATTAATTTAAATTTATTCATTTGACAGCTTAGAGTTTTCTTACAGCTTAAATCTGTTTTAGAAAGGTTGTGTTTATGTATTTTACAGCATTTCAATCTTCTCCCCCAAACAAAGCAAAACAAAATTAATACCAGCAATAACAACAACAACAAACAACCCGCCAGATGGAATACCCAGTTCTGTGTCACCAGTGGTTGAAACATTGGTACCTCTCTTGCTCTTTCCTTTATAAGACACCTACATGGAAATTACAAGATCTCCTTCACAGCTGGGGCCATTTGGTGCTTATTCATTTCACAGATATTTACCGAGTTCCATCCTCATTCCAGGTGCTGTGATCAGCACTGGAGATATAAAAGTGAACAAATAAAGACCTTGCTCAAACTCATAGAACACAGACCTTGACAGAGAGAAGACATAAAGAATCACACACATAGATCATTGCAGACTGATGGACTAAATGGAAACAAAATCCTGGGAGCAGACAAAGAGCGCCTTACAAAGGGCCTGCACCCAGTCTGGCATCAGAGAGGCATCTGGGGAAGGTGGCTGTTGGGAAATGACAGAAGAGAAGGAAGAGCTCCCAGACAGAAGATGGCATGTGCAAAGGTCCCGTAGTGGAAGGATGCAAGGCACAGAGAGGAGTCTGAAAGACAGCATCATAGTGAGAGGCAGAGGGTCCAGAGAAAGACCTGGAAAGTCACACAGGGGGCCATATCCTTAAGAGTTCGGGTCTTTATTTTAAGGGCAATGGATAGCTATTGAAGAATTTTAAGCAGTGGAGAGGCAAAGTTAGATTTCCATTCCGTATGGAGAATGCATTAGAAGTACTGTAGCCCTCCCACAAGAGAGGGTGACTATGCTCACTCAGTAATGGCAGTAGAGGAGGGAGGCAGAGGGATCGGAGCTTATATCTTTAAGGCTCCAGAGTGGTCTAATGGGGAACTTGAATCTAGTGTTGACTCTGTTTCAATTCAAACTATGTGACCTAGGGCGGCTACCTTCACATCTATAATCCACAGTTTCCTACTCTGTCACACAAGGAGGTGCATATATATGGTGAGGGAAAGCCCATGGCATATTCTGTGCAAGGCTAACATGCTGATGAGTCTGTAGCATGGAGAGTTTGAAGGAGAGGACTGAACTCAGAGCTGGATTGTGAAGGGCTTTGAATGCTATGCTAAAAGGTTGGATTTATGCAACATTAAGTGGGGAACCCTGGGAGGGTTTAAGCAGAGAAGTGGCAAGAACAGGACTGTGAATTCGACAAGTTGTTTGGCCTTCTGTGCATAACAAATTGTCAGGGACAATGAGATGGGAGACATCTTAGGAATCACAAGACATAACCCTGGCAGTGATATGGGAGCTAAGAAGAAATTATTTAGGCAGATAGTGAGGGTAAGAGAGTTCTCAATGGAATTTGCTTTTAATAAAAATCAGCCCCCTAAATGATTTTCTTTTCTAACAGAAAGCAGCCTGAAAAATCAAGCTGCAAACATAGATAGGCAATCTGGAAGCTTGCATAGGTAAATGCCGGCAGCAGTGCCAATAGAAAAGGACTACCTGGAAGCCAGGTATGTTCAACATGGAGGCTCCCTCTTCCCTTTTCTTTGTCACCACGTGTGCAGTAAAGAAGCAGGAAACACGGTGCAGGCCAGGTAGAGCTCATTTGCATAATAAAAGGTTAGGGTGGAAGGGTCAGCTTCTCCATGCACTATGTAAATGAAACACCTGGTCCAACCAATCCTCTGTGCCATATGTAAATCAGACACTGCCTCCTCAAGCTCACCTATAAAACTAACCACATCTCACTGGGAACCAGGAGATCCATTCCAAACCTCTTCCCTCTGCACAAGGGAGCTTTTTCTCTTTTGCCTATTACATTTTGGCTCTTAAACTCACTCTTTGTGTGTCTGCATTCTTAATTTCCTTGATATGAGGCAACAAACCTCAGGTATTACCCCAGACAAACAACACTGACATCACTTTAGCAGGATATAAGAAC